AAACCAAACGATGTTAACAAAATGACGTAGAAAGCGCAACTAGATCAAAATTATACAAGCACAACTAGATCAAATTATAATACCTGAGTGCTTGACGTAACAGATATAGAAATAGAATTTGATACCATAAAAAATTATATAGAAATAGAAATTGATACCATAAAAAATTTATTCGTTTTCGTGTTCTTTTCATGTATTTAACATTTTAGTTTTTTTTTTCTTAAGCGTTGTAGCTATATAATTTCAAACATCCTCAAGAGCTATAACACATTTGCAGCAGAACTGGATATGAAGACAAAATTGCAGGACAGGAACACTTTAATTGTCCACTAATCTTCAGATTTCCTGCTATGTTTTAAAAAACTTTATTTGTGAAAACCTTAGCGTGGCGGACAGCTGGCCGCCTTAGGCGGCTAGTTGTTTAATAAAAAGTCACTGAAATAAAAATTTTTCTTTGTTGACCTAAGTAGGAATTGACTTTAAGATATTTTTATATATTACTTGTTTCATTAAAAGGAAGTTCAGTGCCGCAACATTTTTTAATAATTGTGTACATATATATACTTGAAAGACATACAGAGAAAAAAAAAGATGTATTTAAGGAAATGAATTTTTTGTACAAGACATTGAAAGGGCTTTTAGATGACTCCTCCCAATTCCAGTTCTCTTTTTTTCGAAAGATTTTTTCGGTCGGTTACAGTGAAACCCTTATTAAAGACAACTTTTGAGAGGCACGGAATTTTTTCCAGACTTTGTGTCGAAGAAATCCTTTAGGAGAGACAATTAAAACAAAACTCTGCCAGTGACCGGGAAAACATCTGCACCAAATGTGGATAAGGTCGAATAAAGAAACACGAAAAAATATCAAAACAAATAAGTAGATAAAAATGTATTCAAAATATTTGTGTGAGGTTCTTATTTAGAGAGCTTCTTTTGACGATACAGTCTCATGTTGCAGTCCACTAAGCACGATGCTATCAATGATTTACTCTTAGAGTTGGAAGTTAAATTAGAAAAGTTATTTTAGAAAAAAAAAACAAGCAAACCTCTTCTTTTAAAGCCAGTTAATTTTTATGATTAAAAAATTCAATACAAACTGAAACAAAATACATAAATGTTTATTTATTTAAAATAGCTTTATCAATCTTACATAATTGGTTTTTACACATAATTATATTAGTTAGGGTCATTTTTATAGACGCTAATTTTTATTCGTTGATTCGTCTTTTCAAGACGCCAACAAAAGTGGGAATTTTGCCCCAACTAAATGAAAAATCAACAAAAAAGTTGTAATTGCCTCATTATGATTACTGGTTACCCATGGATGAAATGCTTTTCTTTCTGGATTGACTCCGTTAAACATTTCAAATCATGGGTTGCTGTCTCCATGGATGTTTGTCGTCGGATTGGTTTTCATATCTCTTGCCTATGTACGTGTTTCAAGACGTCACAAAATATATCTCCTTCTTTAGCATTCATATTTATATTGAAATCGACGCCAGTAATTATACGTTAATAATAATAAGAATATAAACATCTATTATATATAATTCTCTTACGTGGCTCCCAAATTTTGGCTGTATTTCTTTTCCGCCGGTGGCAACGTTTGCTTTATTTTGAAAACACCAAAGTATTCTGCCTTTTTCATGATGCGTTTCTGATCTAATATATATCATTCTCTTACGTGGCTCCCAAATTTTGGCTGAAGTACTTTGTACAACTAAATAAGATTCTTTTCACAACAGTTAAATATTTACTTTATTTTCTTAATTCATAGAGAAAACAGTCGGCAAAGAATTCTGTTAGGTTCAAAAACATTTCGCTAAAAAAATAACGAATTCTAAAAGAAATAAAAATAAATAACTTAAAAATTACTGTCATATGCCACC